AATTTTGTTACAAAGGGAGTGGTTAACGATTTAGGGCTTCAGAAAATGAAATTTCTCTCAGATTAACGCTGGTTTACTTCCTTTATTCAGGGTTCGCTCTTTGAAATCCTTGAAAAATCCTGTAATTTAAAACTGTTTTCAAGGGTGCTTGAAAAGCCTTTGAAAATGGAAAAATCGCTAAAACTCCGGTCCTGGAAAGCTCCTTGAATCTGATGAAATTGACATATTGCTTTTTACAGTTTGGATTGAAAAGTGGCAATTTTTAAAAATCGACACTGGAAACATTCGAAAACGTCAACAGATATCGTCAAAAATATTTCTTGAAAATCACATTTTTGTGCCTAAAAAGTACTTAAAAAGGCTTGAGTTTGGTAGTGACAATGTTGCACGAAACCTGTTTATTTATACCGTGTGTAGTCTTGGGCTACGTGACTCAGTACATGTTGTATCACTGGAAAAAATCGCGCGCTTTAAAGGTTGTAAATGCATGATGTAAATATGGTGTAAGTGTCCAAAATTCTGTAAATTTGATATAAATGATTTCCATTATATTTACAGAATTTTGGACACTTACAACATATTTACATAAAATTTACAACCTTTAAAGCGCGCGTTTTTTTCCAGTGTATGTGTGACGCGCGCGGCACTTGTATGTATGATTTTGTTGATCAGTTATAAACCCAAAAACTTTAACGGGCTTCTAACATTGAKATGGATAGTTATATCATATCATTGGTATATCACCCGTCTAAGGCAGAAGCTAAAGTCAACTCATAAACAATTTACTAGATTAAACAACAATCACTGAAATTTTAAATATATTCATAGTTCATTATATTTCAGTTGTGACAATTCGACAATTTCTAAGCGCCTTTCTGTCCAACACCAGAAATAGCTTACAGTGTTTGTAAATTTTGAATTCAATGGATGACTAAGAAGATTCGCGTGCGAACCTTTTATTAAAAAAATTACTTATCTCTCGTGGGAAAAACATTCACTATACAAATTCACCATCTTAAGTAAACTTCTATTTCGCAAAGTACTTCAATGTATCTCTTGGGAAATYAAAATTCTACTCTTATAAGCTTGCTAAGAACATTGCGAAAGCAAACTAGATCACAAAACGAAGGGCAAAGGAACTCGCTGTTTGTCTGTGCTGCTAGAAGGTCTTAGGTGGACAAGATTATCAGATCTGGATGAGAAAGCAACCAGGAAGATTTTGAAGTTAGATCGGGGAGTTAATTCCAGAAAGATGGCAGTTTCTACTGCGTCGACATTCATCATCTTCATGGCCATCACTTTTTCCAATGCGGTAAGTTGACTTTGATTTTAATGTACACTTTTGCCTCTTTTACGTAAAATCTATAGACTACTATTATGAGATCTGTATGAAGTTTTTTATCATCAACTCCACTGAAGAGCAAGAATTCCATCGTTAGATCTCGAATTTGTCGAAGATCTTTTGTCATTTCGTAACGAGGTTTTTCAGGACTTTTCAAAGGTGACTGATAGGCCCCTGATAGTTTTTGATTTTAGCATCACTACAGAACGATCTTTTTGTCAAAGCCCTGTTTTTAGCTTTTCAAATAAGAGGACTGTTAATACTAAAAAATGACAGATTGGGTCGATATCTCCACTAAACGCTATACCTGTTACTACATACGTACTATATTGCAATGTCGATTCGATTTTCCATTTCAAATATTGACATTTTTCTTGGACTTATCGATTAAACGGGATTATCAGACAATGGATGCATTTCATTTAACATCTATCATCTATTGATATTTGTGCTATGTGACAACAATATTTCCCTATCGAAATTGCATGGAAATCTTTGTCTTCATAATGAAAAAGAGCGGGAAATACAAACAGAGCACGCAATACCATGTCGGATATATCTAAAGTGGAAATAGATTCAATTCCTAGATTCAGTCTGGATGGATATATTCAGTATGGATATTTTTTTTGTATATTTCGGTAACAATTTGAAATGAGAATTCTAGTTCCACTTAGATGTGTACAAAACTA